GCAGCTTGGACAGAAGCGAGACACATGTGGAGGTTCTGTTGTTGTGTCAAAAAAATGACACTGAGAAGCAGAACGGTTGTTGTACTTCCAGGGATTTTTTTTTCCCTGTTTTGTTTTTACGGCCTGGATCTAAATTTAACCCAGAAGTTCTCACTGTTTGGGAGAGTATTTTCGACATTGCAGAATTTTGATTATTTTCCTTTCAGGAGCCGTAATGAACTCTTAGGTTATTATGGTTTTACTGGCGTCGCTCTGTAGAGCTCTGGCCAGAATCTGGAGGCCAGAGCTCTGACGATCAAAAACAGTCCACACTGAACACAGCGTCTCATCAGTTTAACTAAAAGTGCCCTGAAAGTTTTCATTTCCATTTTCTCTGACTGTTGATTGTTTTTTGTTTACTCTTTCTGTAGTTCCCAGATCCTGTCTGGCACATCTGGACCTTCCACTGCCACGCAGAAAGGCAAGGAAGCGGCCGACAGCGAGAGTGTCGAGGTAAGGAAGTCAAAAATGTCCCTGAAAAGAAAACTAGAGCAGAAAAGAAACTGACAATCCCCACATGGCACATGGACAACCACCAGTTTTTGAAACACAGAATTGTGCCAGAAATTTCAAATGTAATTTTGTTCCAGAAAAGACGCAGGCTTAAAAAAAGACACAATATGTTCGTTTCAGCTTTGCATGAACATCTTCTTGTGTCTGTATCTCTTTGCAGCAAGACTTGTGCACATTTCTCATCTCCCGTGCTTGCAAGAACTCCACACTTGCCAACTATTTGTATTGGTGAGTAGCAGCAGGTCAAGTCAACTTAGGTTTTGCAGACGGGTGAATGATTTTCAGAATAACAACCTGTGTGTCTTCTTAAGGTACGTGATTGTGGAGTGTGAGGATCAGGACACCCAGCAGAGAGATCCTAAGACTCACGAGATGTACCTGAACGTCATGAGGAGGTTCAGTCAGGCTTTACTCAAGGTCAGGAAGCTTTTATCTTTCACTCTGATTCGTGTCTGCGTCACTAAAGCACTGTCTGTTGAGGTCCTGCAGCAAACTGAACTACAACACAAACTATATATGTTTTTCTTTGTCACTTCCTGTTCCCTCCAGGGTGATAAGAGCGTGAGGGTGATGCGGTCGCTGTTGGCTTCCCAGCAGACCTTCGTAGACAGACTGGTGCAGCTGATGAAAGCCGTGCAAAGGGAGAGCGGAAACCGCAAGAAGAAGGTTACAACAGAATACCTACACATGCTAAACCTATTCTGTCTGAGTTTATCTATTTAAATGATGCAGCATGTGTTTTCATATTTTATTGTTTCACTCACATGGACACTCTTTCTCCTTCATGTGTGCTGTTTTCATTGATTCTGCTTCTAACTGAAACGGCCCACGAGCACACTGATCCCTGCTGAGTTGTGTTAACGGCAGCGTTCCCCGTGTGTGTCTGCAGACGGAGCGGCTGCAGGCGCTGCTGGCTGACAACGAGAAGGTGAATCTCTCGGAGATCGAGCCGATTCCGCTTCCTCTGGAGCCTCAGATCAGGATCAGAGGCATCGTCCCCGAGACCGCCACGCTCTTCAAGGTACAGAAAGAGTAACTTTCATCCTCACAAATCACTTTATCACGAGTGTCTGTGCAACACATTGTTCATGAGTCTTTTCCCTTTGTGTGTGTGTGGCAGAGCGCTCTGATGCCAGCTAAGCTGATCTTCAAGGCTGAAGATGGAGCCATGTACCCAGTTATTTTCAAACATGGAGACGATCTGAGGCAGGATCAGCTCATCCTTCAGATTATCTCGCTCATGGACAAAGTAAGATTACTCTTAAACTGGTTTATTGATGGTTTTAGTTTGATTTGATTAGACTACCGACCACTTGTAGTCGTTGATCGCTTTGGGTTTTATTTTATTTTCAGTTGTCAGCTTTTTCTGTAATGTTGTAAAAGATATATATATATATATATATTGTTTTTTGGCTTCCAGCTGTTGAGGAAGGAGAATTTGGACCTGAAGTTGACACCTTACAAAGTATTGGCCACCAGCACCAAGCACGGTGAGAAGTCATGACTCATCACTCGGCTCCATATAAAAAAAAAAACCATTCTTTCAGCCTAACTAAAAGTATTCTATTCTTATTCCAGGTTTCATGCAGTTTGTTCAGTCTGTTCCTGTTGCTGAAGTCCTGGCTACTGAAGGCAACATCCAGGTGAGCAGAGAAATGATCACAATAAGCTGCAAAACAACGTCATCTGTCCTTTTTATTCACATGGTTTGTTTCAACAGAGCTTCTTCAGGAAGCATGCGCCGAGTGAAAAGGGACCCTACGGCATCAGCTCCGAGGTGATGGACACCTACGTCAAGAGCTGCGGTGAGTCCGATTTAACAGCGCCATGTTTAATCTGCTGGTGTGCTCTACCTGCAGAAAACCAGTCTAATCACCTCTCTCACTGCACCCTTCCAGCTGGTTACTGTGTCATAACGTACATCCTCGGAGTGGGAGACAGACACTTGGACAATCTGCTGCTGACGAAGACCGGTGAGGGCAAACGGCTCGTAGGTACCGCTTTACTAATGTCCTCTTTCACGGAGCAGTTTTCAGAACGTTATCTCCTCTCTTCATCCAGGGAAGCTCTTCCACATCGACTTCGGCTACATCCTGGGTCGAGACCCCAAACCGCTGCCCCCGCCTATGAAACTGAGCAAGGAGATGGTGGAGGGGATGGGAGGCATGCAGAGCGAGCAGTACCAGGAGTTCAGGAAGCAGTGCTACACCGCCTTCCTGCACCTCAGGAGGTTAGAGGCCGGACACACGAGAAAACAAACCGAAGTCATGTTTTTAGCCTTTTTTAATATGGTTGGTTTAGTGCTTCCATTACCACTGAAGTTGAACTATTGAAATAACATTGTCCTTCTTTCCTCCTTCAGATACTCCAACCTGATCCTGAATCTGTTCTCTCTCATGGTGGATGCCAATATTCCTGATATCGCCTTGGAGCCCGACAAGACCGTTAAGAAGGTACGTTTGTTGATACCAAGAAATACTTTTTTCAGTGGAGTTTAGATGTCGCTCCAGATTGATGGGGGGTGTCATTTATCACTTTAGATGGAGCCAAGTAATTACGCCGGTATATCTTGAACAGTGTTTAAAATGGACCTCTTCATGTTTCCTTTCAGGTGCAGGACAAGTTCAGATTGGACCTGTCTGACGAGGAGGCCGTCCATTACATGCAGAGTCTGATCGATGAGAGCGTGGGCGCTCTCTTTGCTGCTGTGGTCGAGCAGATACACAAGTTTGCTCAGGTATGTTTACTCGAAGGCACAGTATACTTAAAACAAAGAGAGCCACAGCGTAATGATATCTGTCTATTTAGAGCTGTGAGGAGCTTCTGGCTGTCGGAGATCGACCAGTTGGTGTGCAAGAAGCATATTTCAACAGCGTTTGTGTATTTACTTTAACTGCCAGAAGGGAGACACGCATGTCTGCATGTTGAGCTGTGGCTTATTAAAAAATGACAAATTAAATCAAGAACCACCAAATTGGTGATAGCTTTCAGATCCAGTTATATGGAACAGCTGTTCTGCTTCACTTCACGGTCACTACTCAATTATCCTAAGTATTTCTTGTTTGATAAGTGTGAACTTTGTTCCCATCACTGTTCAGTACTGGCGCAGATGAGCAGAACAAAGAAGGCTGAACTGCATCGAACCTTTTGCAGCAGGAGCACATGATAATATTGCTTTGACTCGACTGATGCCGTGTATGTGTGAGAGACTGAAAGAAACCCAATGACACTGTTAAAAAGGCCAAGAATGCACTGCCAACCTTTACTGCAAGATGGTTAAACAAGGACATGGTGCTCTGTTTGCTTATGTGTATATATAATGTATATTAATTATTAAATGATTGAAATGTATGGCCAAATAAAAGACTTGATACAAGTGAGTTGTGTATTTTTCCATCATTTAAGCCCAAAATCGTGCTGCTATGCAGCGTTCATGGCGCGCGACATGTTTCTTAATTGAGCATTGCTGACCATCTGTGGCCGGTCGTACCGTCGACGCTGGGGGTAGAAACCAGTCGAGCCCCTGGAGGGTCGGTGAGTCACAGAGCGAGTGACTAAGCATTTCCTGCCACACATGGAAAGCGGAGCGCATTAATTTAAGCATAAATTATACATTTCCTACAATATCTTCTATTCTGACGGGTGGGTTCCTTGTTTTCTCTTGTTTTATATGCAGCCACTGATTAACTTTAAAAGAAACAAACTGCAGAGAACAAAATGTTTTAATTAGGCACCTGCAGCAAACAATGAAGCTTTATCTGGTTTAAAATGCCTTTAATCAGGCATTTATTAAAAAGGTACAGTGAGCTTACTAGTAGGTTCATGACTGTTTTCAACATGCTTATATAGGTCCCCTAGAACTCAGAGTGCACACAAACATTCACTGCAGGACATAGAATTAAACGTAACATGAATGAGAGACTAGACGAGTTAAAAGTAGTAAATACACATTTATTTAAAGAACACATGAACTAAACAAAACAAATCCGCAGCCTTGTCAGGCAAAGTCTTAGCCGGCGCTCCCATCAGCTGACGAGCAACAACCTGAAAGACAGAAACAGGCTATAATATGACTTCTTGATGACTTTTTCGAACATGCTATACTATGGCTTTTAACTCGTCTGGTCTCCCATTCATGTTGCAGCCTAGTATAGCATGTCGAAAAAAGTCATAGAGCCTGTCGAAAGAAATCATGAAAAAGTGATAGTATAGTGTGATCACCACTCCCTTCTACTAGGGGTCCGTATGCTTCTTGCTGTCTGTTTCCGTCTTCAGCTGATGGGCCACAAGTTAGCCTTGTGGGAGCGCCAGCTATAAAGACTTTGAACAGTGATCTCGGCGCCGATTTGTTTAGTGCATGTGTTCTTTAAATAAATGTCTGTATTTACTACTTTTAACTCGTCTGGTCTCCCATTCATGTTGCATGTCGAAAAAAGTAATATATGTATATATGTGTTAACTGCTAAAATGTTATATTGTCTGAGGTGTACATTTTGAATACACTGGACTCTGGTAACAAACAAAATTGCAGATAATGATTTGAAATAATCAGTAATATCGTTGGCTGACGAAGAAATGAGCAACTTGTCAAAAACACAATTTAGAGTTTTACTTGTTTTTAATTAGAAGTAGTCCGATAACAATTTGAACATAATTGTGATCCACTTATACATTACCTTTCAGCTTTACAGTCAGTAGTTACACAGTCTTGGCAAAAACCTGCTGCTCTCTATCACCGATATAAAAAGTCAATTTCAAGTGCAAAAATCATGATCTACAATTATAACAAGACTAGAAACAAGCCTAACAGAGTCGCATCAGAAAACACACACAAAAGTTAAGCTAAATGAAATCCACATAAGTGGATCATTTTCAGAGAATCTACTGCAAATAGCAGAAAAGAAAAGAAAAAATGGCCGACCATGTATCAGCTCCACCGTTGTGTAGTCAGGTGCTCATTTGCACACGCCAGCTTCTTGCTTCATACATTAATCATCTGTCCACAAGCAAAATAAGCACCAAGCTTATAAATAAAAGCCATACACACTGGCGTATACATGGAGCTTTGGATAACCCCCAAGGTCTCTGTGGACTCTGGAAAAGGTAGAGAGGGGAAACAAACAACGCCGGATGGCCAAAAACCCAAATGCTCCCCAATGTTGCGGAAAGAATGCAACACCAGCAAAACAGAAGGCAGAAAAGCGAGATGTCAAGATGTTTCTTTGATTTCATGCGGGAGGCAGGATGAGGTGTCGGTCACGGGTAAGAGGCAGCTCTGTTATCTCCTTGGGAGAGGGGGCGGGGGCAGAATGAAGGAGCTGTTTGCGGCATGTGGGGGGTCAGATGTTCTTGTTTATGAAGCTTATGGTTTGGACGGGCCAATTGAGAGTCGCTGGACCTCAGCACAAAGAGGCAGAGGGGGAAGAACCGCAACCAGATTTAGATTTTTCACTGAATCAGTTGTACATACACAGAAAAACAGCTCCTTTTGGACATGTAAACTACAATAAACTATTTCCGCTTCATTGGTGATTCTCACTCACCAGTCGATACTCTGACTCATATCGGACAAACAGTCAGAGGAACGTGCTTACGTGTTTGAAATGGGGAGCCACATTTCTATCACTTGATGGCAGACGCCACTAAACACAATTACAAGTGAGAGGTCATCTGGTGGCTCTCAATATTGGGTCATGGACGGCATTCAAGGCCCCGCAGGAAATGTCAGAGGTCAAGTACGGAACAGCATCTCCAGAGCTGGAAGGGATCCATTAACTTGCTCAAAGACGTTTCAGCATGGCAAGGGATCATGGCCCTTCAGACCCCCCCACTGGCACATACCTTTAAAGAGCAACACTCACAGTAATTTGGCTCTCAGTTTTTAAATCTGTCAGTCTCCATTTGTCGGGTCCTGGCTCCAGCTCCAGCTTCATCCCTCCGCTGTCCCAGTACGCTGCACCTGAGCTGGGGTCTCGACGGAGAGGATCGCCGGTGTGTGTCGAGGTCTGGTCCTGGTTAGAGGAGGATGCTATGGAGATTTGGTCGTCGGCAAATTCCAGGTGGATGTCACAAGGGTCGATAGGGACCGAGGCGAGGGGCAGCAAAGATACTGGATCGTGAACGGGCGCCTCAATGAAAGGAAATAAAAAAATGAAGATTAAAAATCGGTCATTAGAGGCAGTGGACTTTGTATTAAAAACACAAAATAAAACACCGGAATCTTGGGTTGACTTTCAGCGGTTGGTTCCGTTTCGCTCGGTCTTCTCAGAAACACAGTGAGAAGTGGAAAAAGCAGCAGAGACGTCAGCCCGATTCCCAGAAACAACGCAGGCAGCAGTCCTGAGGAGAAAACACAGCACAGGTTGAACAAATCGCTGCCCCAACAAACACTAATACTGCAGAACTTCTCTCTCTCACACACACACACACACACACACACACACACACACACACACAGGGTGAAAAAGATGAATCCCCAGTGAGGCTGCAGAATGAGCCAGAGACCCTTTGGACTCTGCACAAAGTCCTGAACATTTCTCAGCATCATCTGAACCGACCCAATGCAGTGGGGAAATCACTCCCACCTTTGAGAAGATGTTGCATGTCTTTATAGAGTGAGAAATTCAGATATAGTTTTTAAATTTAAGGGCTGAATGATTTTGAAAAAAAAAAAAAACCTTAATTGCGATTATTTTGAGTGATATTACAACTACGATACGATCTGCAATATTAGAGGGCATCATCATTCTCATTTTGCTTTTTTCCTGAAAAACATTCAAACAATTATGGTGTGATGTTTTCGGGGATCTGTAGCAAACAAAGATGTTTTCTTAACATGATCTATCACGTCCTCTGTGCTTGCTCGTTACCCTCTTAAGGTTAAATTGTGCTCAAACTTAAGGGCGCTTCAGGTAGATGCTAAAAGGTCATGACAGGATTTAACGGCCTCAAAGCTTAAAAAGATTCGTCTTCAGTTTTCCTCCCACCTGACTTGGAAACGGTCTCGACACACTGAGGGGCAGATTTCGGGGAAGCAGCCATGGAGAAGGTCGGGAAGGAGAAGTTGGCCACAGCACAGTAGTTCTGACCTGGAGCCAAACCAGAGAACTCCACATGGGACACCACCTCCTGGGTCCAAACCGTGCGGCTCTGCAGGATCACAAAGCACTCGGCTTATCGAGATTCAAAATGTAGAAGCAATCCACCGTCACTGAGCTGATTTGGGGGGGGGACCTTTGCATTTCACCACCTCGTCATGTTTAGCATGAAGGATGGCATCACAATCACACACAAAACTTGACTGATCTTTCAATCTGGATGGAACAATTGAAACCGTTGTTTACATTTTTACCGGAGCATGTCAGTGCAACACTGAACGTTTGTTTACCCAATGAGAATCCTGACTTGTAAATAGATATGCCGGTTATTGATATTTTTATATATCAATATAAAAATATTTTTATATATAAAAATATTGATATTTTTATATATAAAAATATTGATATTTTTATATATAAAAATATTGATATTTTTATATATAAAAATATTGATATTTTTATATATCAATAACATAACAAAAAGCATGTCAGACCTGGTACTCTGATTGATTGAGCTTGTTGTACACAGTTACTGTGGTCCACGGGTCGATCAGTTCAGAGATGGGACAACACCTCCCCAGAGAGCACCTCCTGTTGGCCGCACAGGGGAACTGCACCTTCACCAGCAGCTGGTCGTCTTTCAAAGAGGCCGAGACAGAGGGAGGACTGAAAGCTGGAGGAGTGGGGAAAGAAGAGAGGCTGTTCATTTTCATATTTAACATAAAAAAAGGTTATTGTACTTTTAAAAGAAACCATTTCAAACCAAGTGCAACAGAGAGAGGGGGACCTGCAGGCTCTCTGTGCACAGGTTTATTACACTGTTGTATTGCAGGAACTGCAGACTCTCACTGACTGAAGTCACTGTAGTCAAACTTGCGTGGCTTCATCCAGACGGTGGAGATGGGGCTCAGGTGGACGCCCAGACGAACCATGTTGTACAGCTCAAAGTTTGAGAAGGCGTGCGAGACGTCACAACTGTGGGACGAGATCCAAACACACCACGGTACGTCGTGCCAGGGGTCCCTGTACACACAAGAGTACACAGTCATATATGTAAAAGCATGTGCATGAAATATACTATCCTCCAATCACAGGCTTTCACATGCACAGCATTTGATGTAGAGGAATGTAAAATGTGCAAATAAAACTACAAAATCTTGTTTGTCCCCGTTTGAAAAAAAGTATCATCTATGTCGATATACTGGCAATTTATTCCCCTTCCTGTGTGAAATGCACATGGCGCTTGTTGCTTTAAAAGTCAAATAGAAATTCTTATCAAACCATAACTTTGTAGTCTTATTATAATCAGCACTAAACCTAAAGTAGTGTCCACATTTAATGATCTAACATACAAATAAAATGTACTGTTATTGATCCCACACAGATTTGTAGCAACGAAATGAAAACGTAAGAACTAACAAGATTGTCTGTCTCTCTTTTACACACACACACACACACACACACAGTCAGGAGGACTTACCCTTGAGTCTTTGTCTGCACGGTATAGGTGGTATTAGGACTAGCATGGGGACAATCCCACCGCAGGAGGCATCCTAAGTCCAGTGATTTCACAGCAGTGTAGCAGACTGATCCAGTCGACCCTGGGAGGTTGACACCAAACACATACACCAAAATAGCACCGTCACACAGATGCTTGTTAACACTTGCAAGCATGAGCTCTTGCAGAGGAAGGAATGGCAGAAAACACAGAAAACAGCTACAGAGAAGTCAAATAAAAACAGTTTAGATATTAACTTCAGAGCTCACCAGTGATCAGCAGGGCGACGACACACAGCCCCAATCCCACCGTGGTCACGCCTGGTGTCTTCATGGCAACTTGGTGATCTGGATCAAGTGAGATGGTGATGGTCTTAAACGCAGCCTGTACCGCACAGCGCTGTAGGCGACGGACTCCTTTCAGGAGCAAGACAAGGTGTAAAGCCCCACTGAGGAGGAGATGCAGTAAGCTGCAGGGAGAGTGATAGACTGAAGTTAGCAGGGAGGTGGAAGGGGTGGAGAGATGAGGATTCAATTGAAGGACGGTGATTTTGTCAAGAGAGCTGGAAAGGCTGTAATCTACTTAGAGGACGACGAGAAGTTTGAGAGACTGAGACGGTTACAGGCCGAACATTAACTCGTTTCATGATTTAAATATATATTTAGTTATAGACAATGTTTTACTGTCCCATTTTTACTTTTACTTTTGTCTTCTTACCAGAAAATGTGACACTATTTTGAATATGAAATTTTTTACATTGTTATATCACAGATAGAAAATAATCCATCCCAAATGTTGCCCAGACATTTCCCTTAAAACCACAAATGTCAACCTCGCGGTGAGGAAAAGTCATGTGATGATCACCACAGTCCTCACAATCCATCATCCGGGCACCATGGCTATCTCAATGTTTCATACTAATCCATTAAACAGTTGAGATGTCAGTCTGGATCTCGCACGGCCATTAAAAAAGTAAAAAAGCGGATACATGTCAGGAGAACTGCATTCTATCATTTTATTCAATGCCATCTTTAAATAATAAGAATCTGTACATCTCTTAAGTAGGTCTTTGACCATTCATTCCAAAAAGACATAATAACAAACAGTTTCCTTATTAACAACAGTAATACAGTTGAAGTGCTTAACCAGGCGACCTGAAGGGCCAATAGAGATCATACAGCAACAAAATGGTCAAAAGAACGGTGTACAGCACACTCTTTATACACACACACACACACACACACACACGCACACACGATGAATCCACCTCGCACTCACATTTGTCCATGTTACACACAAACTGACACAGTCCAGCAGTGCACCACACACCCTCTTGATAATTAAATACATTAAAGCAAAACTGCCTGTTCATTCAATAACAGCACCAAACATCAAATATCATTGCAGCAGTAATAATACTAAGCTTAACATTCCTCATTTTCAGCATCATCATCATCATCATCATCAGTCATGAGAATCTTAACATCTGTGAATATACAGGGTCCAACCCACTGGGCCCCAAAGTGGAGTGTTTACATGCTGAACGGTTCTGGACATTGCCGATCATCAGTCAGGTCTGCACGTCGCCCTCAGCCCAGCAGAGGGCGACGTGCAACAATGTGCCAGCAAAGACACCGGTTCTTTGTCCCACAGCTTTCATAGAGAAAGTCAGCCTGGAGTGTGTTTCAGTAAAGTGTGTCTGGAAAATAAGCAGGGTATTGCTGCGTTAAAATGTGTGCAAATTCTAAGAAGACCCACTTAATGTCCAGGGAAGAGCTTCCTCACCATCTTTTCTGTGTGTATTTGGTGTTTAGATGTTTATGTCTGCGCCCCCGGTAAGGCGAGTGCCGGCTCCAGGCTGGTGGTGGTGGTTGTGGGGGTAGGAGAGGGCGCCAGGCCCTTGGGTGCCGGACAAAGCAGCCCACGTGAGGCTGCGTGGTCCCCGTTCAAGTTCTTGTAAGGGTTTCTGCGCGGCGGGGGTCTGAAACACACCGAGGGGAAGCGGAGGCCCGCGAGGCAGCAGCCGGGACAGGAGATCACCTCCTCCTGGTCCAGAGAGTGTCTGCTCCCGGAGCCGAACGGGGACGAACCGGCAGGGTCGCCGGGAGGGGAGTGGTAACCGTTGTCGTTCGTTGTGGTGTCGCTCCATCCCACGGGTCGACTCATGACCACGTTGTTGTTGTCCAAATGAGAGAGGGGAGGCAGGCACGGGGGCCCGTTGGAGATGGCCGACCCCCAGCCGTTTGAGAAGGGAGGGATGGAGGACTGGATGGGAGTCGAGGAGTGGGCCGGAGGAGGGGAGAGCTCGGAGCAAGGAGATGAAGTGCTGTCTTGTGTGTTCGGGGAGCTGGTGCAGTCCATGGGCTCTTCCTCACCCCCACCCTCCTCCTCTTGGTCCAGCGACAGGGGCTCAAGGGACAGAGGAAGACCAGAATCAGTCCCACTCCCCTCCCTGATCACCTTCTCCTCTTCTTCTTCTTCTTCTTCTAACAGTCTCTCTTCTTCACTCATTCCGTTAGTCTCGCTGTCCAGCTCAGTCGTGGACTCCTCGGTCAGGACCGTCTTCGGCGCCGATGTGAGGTGCGGAGGAGGCGTACACGGTAGCGAGTGGCAGCGCCGGTGCCTCCTCGGTAGCTCGCAGCTGTCGATCTCGTCGAAGTCTGGTAGAGGGGGCAGGGTGAAGGTGAGGGAGATGACGGACTTGCTGGGCGTGTCGAACAGCTTGGTCTTGCCCCCCTTGAGGTCCTCCCTCAGAGAGAAGGGGTTGATGCGAGCGGGAGTTGCTGCGGTGACAGAGGGGGGCGTGTCCGGTGGGTGGAGCATGTCAGACTTGCTGCGGGAGAGGCGAGGATCTGACAGGATGCAGAGGGAGCGCCTTCGCAAAGGGCCAATTGCTGGAGAAACCGCTTTAAAAGAAAAAGAGTGAGTGAAACTTATTAATCTGCAGGATCACACACGTTTAGCATTTGGCGCCGACAAGTACACAGAATCGATGACTCACCTTTGACTGTTTGTTCGGCCTTCTGTTTCTTCTCAGCCTGTCTCCTCTCCAGCTCCACCGCGATTTGGGAGAAGGAAGGACGGAGCTTTGAATTCATCTGACAGAAACAAAAGTCAACAGATTGAACAAAAGCACGAAGGAAAGATAAAAGCTGCAGTGCAAAATTAAGACCGATTTGATCTAGTCAGCAGTTTTTTTTATTAAAAGCAATTGAGGAGACGTAAACCTGGCTTGGACGTTAGAAGACTGATGGATGCCACCTCTAATGACGTTAGCCCATTAAAAATATGGCTTTCAAGCATTTAAAACACAGGTTACAGAACGCTCTACAACCTCTCTGTTCAAACATGACCGGATCATTAAGCATAAACGAACAACGCTCCACCTAAATCTGGAATCTGGTATGAAAGAGGCGAAGCAAAAGCTGCTTTTTCTTCTCCCAAGCGACGCTGTAGATACCTTGTACACCGATCTAAAACCAGTACAGTAATATATCACAGTCCTGCAATAAATGAATGGTTATAATGTGTTGATTCAGCTGTATATCATTTTGGAGGATGTAGTTATTTGGGGCTGTTGAACTGTAATGTACATGACCATAATGCACCTACAATTGAGCAGACAACTTCCTCAGACTTTCTGACTAAATATAGAGCAGAAATAGGCTGATGATACAGCTGACCCAGCAGAAAAGACGGGAACAGTACAAAAAACAGAGGAGGCAGGGTGTGTGTGTGTGTGTGTGTGTGTTTCTTACATTACAGCAGGTGAAGGCCAATTCCAGGAAGTCAGGAGGACAGTCTCCCACCATCTCCTGAAAGGTCACCTCATCCAAACCAAAGTCCTGTACAAAAACGCAAATGTTTTAAAAATACACAAGAATTTACATTCATGTCCGTGTGTGACCTAAGAAGGAAACGGTCCCATTACACCCGATGGTTACGCCACCATCGGTTTAGTGTTTAGGTGAGCTAGTAGTGACAGACAGCAGAGTGCAGTACTAGTAAATGGACACAAGGGGGAGAATGTCCTCATCTTAACTTTAAAGGCTTTCAGTTTGGGTTAACTGAGGCTTTTTAGGGACATGCAAATGTGTCAAGATAAGAAAGTCAGCTTCCTGTTTGTTCAAGATGACGATCAGCAGTTAGATTACAAATGGAAAAGATTTTTTAAAATCATCTCTGAAATGGGGAAACTGTTGCTGCTTGCACAACATTTCACAATACTGACAGACTTCAGGCTGTCAGTGAATACAGGAGCTGTCCTCGACTTGTACATTATCATTAATGGTTTCATTATTCATGCAATGATATATTAAAGGGCTCTGTGACACGAGACGTGCATGAGATGATGAGAACGTGATGATAAGGGAACAGAGGAAATATTATTGACGACAACTCTGTACCATAGTGCGGGGCAGGAAGTCAGGGTCGGCTTGTATCCTCGCAATAGTCTCACACAGGATGATCCCGTATGCAAACACATCCACCTGCAGAGACAGGAAGACGAGTCGATCACAGAGAGCTACACATCCAAGGGGTAAAGACGAGATCAAATAAAACAGGGAGCGACACCAGACACCTCTTACATAACTAAATCCCTGTTTGCCTTCCACATAATAACTATATTTATTAAATATTTATTGCTCGACTTCAATTCCTGGGAACTGGCTTTTAATTGATTGGCTTTCATCACACCCGCTGTGGACCTTGAACTCTTGCAACAACCTGCAGCTGAAAGGTAATGAAGACGGCGTTGTCAGTACCTTCTCATTATACACCTCCCCTCTGAGCACCTCCGGGGCCATCCAGTAGGGGGAGCCGACGACAGCCAGAGGCTCCTGGTCCTCTTCCTCACTGCAGAGACAGAAGAGGAGAGAAACAGAGAGAGGAAAGCTTCATGTTAAACCAGCACTTATTCGAGGCTCTCATGAGATTGCTGCCCTGATCTTGTGATGATTTGGAGAATAATGTTACTTTAATAATATAACAGAATCATAACTTGGGATAAGGCAATAAAGCTGAAACAATAGATTAAGCAAACGCCCAGTCAACAGACAGCTTTAATAATCAACGGGCTCAACAGCTTTATCAGATACGTGTTTGCTCATTTTCAGACTTCACAGAGATGACGACAAACGGATAAGCAAACGGTCGGACAAGAACATCCGGTAGAGCAGGCGCCACGCTCCATTTCATTAACTCGGAGCCCAATCAAGAGGCAGAGAGAGGTCTTATGAGGTGAAACCCGGCTCTGTGAGTGCGGCTGTGTGCACTTCCTCTGTATCCAAAAAAGAAAAAGAAGCAGTGTTTTGATGTTCTGTGGAGATATTGTTGAGCAACTTTAGCTGAATAAAAAAGGAAGGAACATAAGAATGTGCAAGTGCACACACACACACACACACACACACACACACACACACTTCCTTTATGTGCTATTTCCATCTGCTACTGTGGGTTATGATACTGCAAAAAAAAACAAAAAACACAGCGAGGGAAGTGATGGCAGAGGGGAAAGATGAGGAGCCGAAACGGTCGTGACTCCCAACGTAAACACCGTTTGGAGAAGTAGAACGACAGAAAGGAGAAAACAGAGCGAGTGCAGAAGGGAAAACGGCTGAACAGAAAACAGTACCGACACCAGAGGAAGGACTTGTTATACGAGGGGCAGCAGAGATCCAGTAAGAGCAAAAAGGACTGGAATAGTTTGACCTTATTTGGAGTGCTTCTCCTTCATGTCCTCCCCTCCCCTCCTCCACACGGACAGCGGTAGCGATCCAACAGAAACTTTTCAAAAGGGTTGTCAACATCACTCATTCACTGTCAGCACTCCGCTACAGGATACAACAGTGTTTGACTAAAATATAAACGCAAACATGACCTTGCAAAGGAAGGAAGCACAATTCACCAGCTGCTGTTGAAACAGACGCTAAAGCAAACAGAGGCTTCGTGTGTGAAAGCTGCAGGCCTGCAAAGAAACACACACTGACAAACACTCAGGTGAACAATATCAACTTCTTAGCTTTGTTTGTAGCTGAAGGGACATGCACACAACTCATTTCGTCAAAAAGCAGTGACATAAAGACTTGTGTAAACATGAAAGGTGGCCGGCACAAACAGAGCCAACACACACACACAGGCCAGGTTACAGTGGCAGCTGTCTCATGTCAGCGAGAGTCATGTGTTCACTAAATGACTTCAGATAGAGCGAGGAGGACGGGGATGGGGAGCTAACGGGACGTAACCGTGTGTCCACACGTGTGTGCGTGTGTGGGTTAGGGTGAGAAGAGTGATAACAGACTCATTTCTATTGATTAAAGTGGCTACAGTCGATATTTAAGGGCATGGAAATCCACCAAAATCCAGAACTAGAGATGCAAATATTTTCATACTGGAGCTGATAAACTTTATATTTTCCAATTTTGGAGATCTTTGTTATTTCCCCCATTTTACATTTTGGAGAGTTTCATTTGCACGACACGATAAGTCACAATGAACACTGCTACTTTATATTCTACAGACCAACACTTTCACCATTTCCTTCTTCGCCTTCAAGAATTTGACATCGTTAAGGGAGATATGAGGTCACTGGAGAACCAGCTGAAGAAAGTAAAACTCGATAGCTGTAACTCCGCTGGTCATTTACAGTCAAGCACAAGCACCGAATTGATGGCGGTGAATAAAATACGCCACATAAATGTCAAAAGCATATTAAAAAAAAAAATGCACAGCTGTGAACACAGAGGAGCAGCGAGTCCGTGGACGCCTTGAAATGACGCTTCACGATGTTAATAAAAGGTTCCCCAAACAGTGAGTGGTGGTGGAAAAGAAGGGGGGCACAACATTCGATGAGGAGGCATCATGTGCCTTATGCAAACTTTGGAAAAACCTGGCTGTGCTGATGTGTGTGAGTAATGCATCTTTGTGTGTGCGACCGCGTCTCATCGGAGAGAAAAGGGAAACTGTGGGAGACATTTATCTCAGACAGATACGGCCCGAGGGAAACGTACGACACGGAGAGAAGTGGAGGAATGTGATTTATTGAGCGTGACTCATCTCATCACAGAGTGTTGATAGAAGTTCTGATGAACGGACTGACCTGTAATCTGGGATTTTCTCCGCCAGGCCCAAGTCTCCCACCACGGCTGAGCACACGCAGCCCTCCCAGCGCACCAGGCAGTTCTGCACAGAGGGGTCAGAGGTCACACGTCACCATTACTGCTGTTAAATGTGTGTGTGAGCATTCCTATATACAGTATATATATATATATATATATGGCTGCCTGTGGCCCTTTGTGTGTATTTCCACAGTGATTGAAGAGGTTACTGTGCAGTGCTTTTTCATTTGCTGAGAAGGCTTTTTAGGAGACATATTAAAGCAGAACTGCTGATGTTTCCACCTCGCTTGAGATAAACAGAAACGGTTTCTGAGCCATTTTCCTCTATGAAGTGATTATTTCACCACGTCAACTTAACCACAATGATTTGCTAACAGCCAACTGTTTCCAGCATGTCAACATTTCCTTTGTAGACTTTGTAAATTGAGATTTCAGACACTCGATCTATAAAATATAAACAATAGATGGCATCTTTTTTAATGTTTTACCGCTTTATATGTTGTTGTTTGTAGACTTCATCTCCATGTTTTACTTCACTGTCATCAGGCTGATATCTAACTTTCATCTCCTTTCTTTGAGGTCTACCTGCGAGTCAGGACCTCATTTTATGTTAGCACAACATCAGCATTAGCCGTCTGCTGCTAAAGACCATGCTGGCATCCAAAATGCAACATTTCCCACAGATCCTTTTTGTTGACGTAGTTGCAAGATCTGTGACGCACCGGCAAAGCCTTTAAGACGCTCATTGTTGGAACCTCTATGTATTGGAGTCTTTGTGTGCATCCATAAGTAATTGCAGTGTGTTGTAACACGCACGCATCGCTACATTACGAGCAGACTGCCCTGATGTTCGGTGATGCGTGTGTGCTGTAAACCGGCACCGACACGCGTGTGTGTTTGTGTCGTCACCTTGGAGGTGAGGTCCCTGTGGAAGATGCCCTTGCTGTGCAGGTACTGCAGTCCCCGGGCGACGTCCAAGGCCAGGATGATCCGCACGCTCCACGACAGATACACATCGCTGCCCAACAGCTGCTCCAAGTTACCGCCGTTTATGTACTGGATCATCGGGATAAACAAAAAGAGTTCATTATTAACTAGGAGTTCATTCCATTTTTGTAATTGCTTAAATATTAATAAAACTGGGACATAAAGTCTCATTTCTCGCAGTAATTAACTGTAAGATTGTGCTGTTAAAATTAGCCACATGAATGTTACCGTCAGTCATTACATTACGCTTATATTTACATAAGGAGTCCTCTTCACGGAGCCGGACGCCATGTTTCTACATTAGCCCAGAGCGGACAAACCAAACACTAGTGCTAGATAGGGCCACCGTAGTTCTCCTAAATGCTTTTCAACCTGTCCTGTGTCAAGATTTGCTTTAAATTACTGTTTTGTATTTATGCAGAGCCGTTTGTCTAGCATGCGGTTGGCTGTTCAAATACACACAATGTGTGCTTCATCGTGCACTTCTACTCCGCAGCAGGTTAATGAGCGTCTCACCTCTGTGAGGGCGTGGAGCTGCCCCTCGTGGACACACACTCCTATAAACCTGGAAACAGAGCACACGAACAATCAGCAACAGACGGAGAACAACAGTTTCTAGATGCACAAATATATTTCATGGCCAGGTAGGGGGGGGGGGGGGGAGAGGAGAGGAGAGAGAAAGAGAAAGAGAAAGAGAGAGAGAGAGAGAGAGGACAGCATGTGGTGAGTCAAATGTTTTAGTGACCTGAGGATGTTGGGGTGCGAGAGTCTGTTCATGAGCTGGACCTCCCTGAGCATGTTGGCTCTGTTGCTGGCCAGGATGTTCATCTTCAGAGCCATCACCTGTCCGGACACACGATGCTGCACCTGGACCGGACAACAACAGTTTTTATTTTGATTCACTAATGTCAGAGAAAGGATTTAAAAACTGTTTTCTGTAACGTGTGTAGAAATCGAAACCCCAGGAAATGATGCAATGCAGAACATGCACTTTTATAACAAACGGATTGGAAGTAAAATATTAAAAACATCGACGTACACATGAGCACATGTAACAGAACTATAGCTAAACAGAACAGGCCTTCAGCACGGTACCTATGAAGATAAATCATTACAAATACATGAACCACATCAGTCAACACATACTGCAGCTGAACGCTGAGTCAGAGTAACACTCAGGTACTTTTAGAAACTGGCCATGTAAAATATGCAAGTCAGCATAGTGTCTTAGTTCATTTCGGCTGCTTCTGTTCCTCGACCCGCTGCTATGGCGTTAGCTTCGTCTGGTACGGTAACCATGGTAACCATGGTGACCCCCCCCCCCATATTTGCTTGGCGAGTAGTTTGACTTCCAAAAGAAAAGAAACACAAGCAGCAGGCGAGCACTACAATCTCTGGCAGTGTGTAGAGAGAAGGAGTCAGAGGTGTTTCTGAGTCCGTCTGACTGTGTGTGATAATAGTGTGTGTGTGTGTGTGGGTGTGTGTGTCTGGAGTGAGAAAGCTCAGTACTGCATGTGCCGATTACCAGCGTTAGATACAAAGTCAGGGAAGGCGAGACCGTTGGCATTATGCAACAACAAGAAAGGACTGCTGCTGTTTATTTTACTTACACGTTTTTAATAATTATATATATATATAATTATATAGTGTATCTGTATTATTGGTGCATTTTGTGCGATTTTGCAGGTTTAAGGGCCGACCCTGTAATTGTTGGAGTTCTACCACATGCATTAGAAGTACAGCTGGGTGTCTGTAGCACTGAATATTGAAGTCTGCATGCTAACAGTGGTGGTTTAAGCCGCTAACATGCAGATGACATCAAATTATTTTTCCTTTTAAAAAAGGCAATCCAAATCATCTCAGCACGTCAGCGTCGGCTATGTCGCACTACAAAAGTACAGGTGCAGGTATTTGGTAATTTCACCGATTTCTTTCAACAAATGAAAAGGGGTTTGTTAAAAAAAAAATGTGTTTATATTTCTCAAATCAAGGGATCAAAAAGGATTAATTTGTTATCACCACCAAAAACCTCACCCTACTTAAATGTCAACACACTTGGGAATAATAGCAGGTTGCAAACCATGTGTTGTGAGCTCGGCTTGTTGGGCCACTTGTTTGCATTTAGGATCTGCAATCAGCCTTTAATGCCCGACTGCAAACCACATTTCCTTCGAGCTAATAATAAAGTCAAACCGGCTTGGGAGGGTTTTCAGGTTGGGACTTCATTAGTGGCATGAGTGTGCAGTGAAATAATGAAAGGGTGAGGGAGGGGGGAGTGTGTGAAGGGTCAAAGTCTGGAAGTAAGAAGTGTTGAGCTGAAGTCTCACTGGCCTGAATGTGAGCTGGGCTCTGGATCAGAGTGGCGATGGAAACAGACTACAAAGCCTATTAGAGACGAGACTATAGTGCAGCGAGTAATGCTATTAACACACACACACACACACACACACACACACACACACACACACACACA